CTGAGGGTTGCGATCCGTTGCCGGACACGAAAAAAGACAAAAAAAAAAGAAAAAAAAAAAAGAAAAATATTAACTGCTGGTGTGTGCTTACTAAGTAACACTGGCAATCTGTGATTGCTACCTCAATTTACTACATCTTGAAACAAGTTGAAAAGTTCTTATTTCTTTAGAAATATGAATAATATATTTGGACTTGATAATGACTCAAATACATGTCCTTATTCATTTATTCAACAAATCTATACTGAGGGAAAACTATGAACCAAACCTTGTACTTGGTACTTCATTATGCTTTAAAATGCTGTTTATTGTCAAAATCCAAATACTAACAAAACACTGAAAGGCTAAAAAAGAGAGAAAAAAAATATTGTATTGTCATCACAATTGTTATTATGCTGGATCAGCTTCCAAAATTAGAGAGAGAAGAGAATGGTAAGTATACTATTCTGACTGGTACTGTATTAGGACTTAATATGATCTCCATGATTCTAAGAGCAACAGAGACAATCTATTAATATTACATGACTTAAAATAACCTACACAGAGAGATTCTGTGTGTATGCATACTATGAGGCAGTCTTAGAAACTAGTGTACAAAAGTTTAAAAGAATACTGTGCTACTCTTAACAGTTAGAACTGGAGTTTCTATTGCAAGGTATCACGTGACACTGTAGAAATGTATTTTAATAATATGATTCAAATATGATTTGACAGAAGAGTGCAATAAATTGCTGTACTTTGAATTCAAAGGGTGAGAAAATAACTTAGGGGTTAGTGAGTGAAAATTAAAGAAACCATTGAAAAAGGTGTTCCTCCTTCATTCTCACATTTTAATTTCTAAAAATGCTTTATCCTGAGTCCACATTTCCACTTTACTGGTGGGAATGCCTCACACTTAAAAATTACTAATAGGACCTGAGACACATTACATGTTATTTACTTAAAACAAAGTTAAGTAGAGTGTGGCAGTCTGTTACACTGGTGGCCATCAATGAACCATACCTCCTGGTTCACACCCTGGCCTAATTCTCTCCTATTGAATCTGGGCTGGGCCTGTGGCTTATTTAACCACCAGACTGCAGTAGAAGTGAGGTTGTGCTAATTCCAGGCATAAGCCTTAGCCTAGCAGATTCTGCTTTTGAATTCTTGGGAGCCTTAAGCCACCACATAATAAATCTGGCTCTGCTACTCCAGAGGCCATGAGGAAGGAGAGGAAGCCCTAAGACTACATGGAGAGTGGAGCTCAGTCATCCTAGCTGAGACCCTGAGCTTTATGCAACATGAATGCCAGCAAGACAGCAGAAGAGGAACCAGCTGAGTGAAGCTTAGACTGCAGAATCATGAGCAAATAAAACTGTTATAGTAAGCCATTATGTTTGGGGATAGTTTGTTATGTAGTAACAATTAAGAAAAATAAAATATTATTAAAAAGTACTTTGCTAGGGCCGGCCTGGTGGCGCACTGCTACAGTGCGCCGCTTGGGAGCGTGGCGGCGCTCC